CTCATCCTTCTCCTGCTTCTCATCCTTCTTCTCATCCTTCTCCTTCTTCTCATCCTTCTCCTTTTTCTCATCCTTCTCCTTCTCCCTTTCTCATCCTTCTCTTTCTTCTCATCCTTCTCCTTCTTCTCATCCTTCTCCTTCTCCTTCGTCTCATCCTTCTTCTCCTCATCCTTCTCCTTCTTCTCATCCTTCTCCTTCATCTTCGTAGCGAAGAAATTCGCATCGAATCGAATTTCACACTGGAATTCGCCGAATCAGCCGAATCGAATTTTTGAGAAATTCGCTCATCTCTAGTCTAGATGTTAAATTGCTAATAAATGGCCAAAATTTTCAAATACCTTTGAACTCTCGCTGCAACAAATGGCGTATGTTAATACACTCACATTCACATTCATTATATCCAATATCAGGTACGATGTCAATTCACAAATCGCACCTGAAATTGCACACCCTGGATGTGACTTGTCATGTGATTGGCATGGCCAGCAGCTTGCCCTTTGCATGGCAAATTGCACCCAATGTTATTGGGGGCTAACACCACTGTCACATCTAATCCGATGCGGCAATTGCCCAACATACAGTGAAGTTGCACGAGTTCACAATCCAATTGGATGTGAACAGAGCCTACAGTGGCCAATAGGGTGCGACTTGGTCTACGATTTGCAAGTCGCCTGTCATGCCAATTGCATGGCAATCGCAAACAATGTTACTGGGGGCTATCCGGTCACATTAAAGCAGATTTCTAAGTGGTGTTATTGACACCACAGTCACATCATGTGACTTGCATAGAAGTTGCATGATTTCAAAGTCGGGGTACATGGTGATTTCAAGTGCAATTTGCAAGACATTCAACACCGATCTCTTAGCAAATTGCATGAAAAGTAGTGTATTCACTACTCTATTATTACTTGCGGCTCCTACCAAGTTTGAACCACAACAATATGAACACTCCAATAGCGTGCACATTGAGTGGGACTTGGCATGTGATTTGCACAACATGCAAGTTGTAAATCATTTGCAAAGTCGCACCCTTTTGTGTGCTATTAGAGCGACCACATGGGTGCGTTTCAAACACTGATTTCTTAAGTAGTACATGTACTACTTTAGTGGCAATTTACATAGAGATCTGTGTCAGATGTCTTGAAAATTGCATTGAAATGGTCAACTTTACTGTAAGTCGCAGGATTTGTAAATCAGCTTTGCCCAGAGTGTAATGTTTGGTGATGTTTGATTTCTGGAGTGTTTTGCCAATTGATGGGAAATTCACCATACTAGTCAAATCGATTTGTCATTTTCAGTATTGCATACAAGATGTGGTCATGTGACTGTCTCACCTCATGCGATAATCTGGAGGGAATTGTGACCATAGTAGCAATAAAGGTTCCAATTGGGGTTCTCTTTCACATCCCAATTATATATATGGTAAAAATACACAACATTTTCTTCATGGACACAATCACAAACAAATTCCTGTTCAATTCAAATGATAAAACTGTACTGAGTTAATAAATAAAACGTTGTGTAATTGAGGGCTCATTCACATGGGTGCTGTGGCCTGTAGAGTGTGAATCAGTGTTTGGTTTTTGTGGCTGTCGCCATTAGCATGCAACCTATGTTACACTATGGGAATGCTGCAGGTCATAATTTGACAAGCATATGGTTGCAGGTGTACAGCCCTGAACACAGACAGTGAGCATTCAGGGCCACTTCCCCACGCCTTCACACTTGTCAGATTAAAACCTGTGTTCATACAGCTGCTGTGTCCCCATAGTGTAACAGGTGGCTCTAGCCACATAAACAACCCACTCATTCATGCTGTACAGGTCAGAGGACCCGTGTGATTGTGGCATTTTGTGTTTGTTATATTTATTTTTTCCCAAAGCCCATTGAATTCAATGGGCTGCTTAACATGTGGAAACATGCCACAATACTGCAGGCATGTTATTTTCCAAGTGTGTTGCACCTAACCGCACAGTAGTGTGGTGCCATGCGTTTTTGTGGCTGTGAATGGGGCTGTTTTTAATAGACGTGTGTAGGTGCAATAACGTTTTCATCATGGTACCTGCGCACATCTACAGAGGGCATTGCTTTTCTTTGCTGTGCTGGAAAATGTGTGTTCTTGCATGCGTTTCTGCACCACCAATGGTGTGAACAAGTCCTAAGGGCCGGTTCACACTATAGAAACAGTCTAGATGTGTTCCTGATGGGTTTTTTTCATGCCCTTTTGGCATGCATGTTTCGTGTGTTCCAGTACATTTTGGATGCGTTTTGGACACGTTGACATTGCATTTTTGTATCCCTTCCACTTATTTTTTTTCTATTTTCTTTGTATTCAATGTAGTTAGGGACATGTGCGCTTTAGTACATTCAAGGACGTTTCAATGTGTTCCAGTACAGTTCTGTGCAGAAACAATGCAGCGTTGTGGCTCGTCCCCCCCCCCTTTCCTGACCTGCCGGGCTGCATGCTCGGATAAGGGTCTGGTATGGATATTGAGGGGGACCCACGCTGTTTTTTTTTTTTAAATTTCAGCGTGGAGTTCCCCCTTAATATCCATACCAGACCTGAAGGGCTTGGTAAGGATGAGAGGGGGGACCCACGCTGGTTTTTTTTTTTATTGCGGACCTTTATTTTTACATTCAGCTGTCAAAATAAATATTATCTAGACCTTTGAAATAAGTAAAATCATTACAGAAATAATTGTAAAGGATAAGAAACAAAAATAGAATCACTAGAACTAAGGAAATCTAATTAGATTACATGAAGATATGCTTAGTGCTGTTTATTAAACACAGTAGTTGCGACCGAGTGGCGGCTGTCAGAGGAATCCACAGTAAGATGCACTATTAGACAGTGGCTAAAAAGCAAACGCCCATGGCAGACATCAAAAATGTGTTCGCACATGCTCAGTTATATCTGCCAAAGACACTGCACGGGCGTCTAGATTTTTACTGTGTCGATTTCCTTGAAAAGAACGATTTTTAACACATTCTTAATTTTTTTGGAAATATCAGATATTGTTTAAAGTGAAGTCCTGATATTTGGCAAAGCAAATTTCTAAGTGAACATGTCTCTGCAGTGATTTTTCATGGTGATAGACGTGCTTCTTAGCAAGTCTGCTTTGTGAGTCTGATTCCGGGCGTGTGTCTTTTTGTGAATTAGATTGGGCATCTGCTTATGGGCACTGGTCAATAGGGAATTTGATTGCAGGGTAAAAAATAGACGGTCGCCCATGAAAATTGGGCGTTCGCCCACGAATATGCGCCCACGCCCAATAGTGAATCAAGGCCAAGGTGGCGACAGACCAAGTAATATCCATTTTTCACAGTAGGGGACCCATTGATAATTTAAATGTTTAGAAGTAGAAGACATTGACTGTATTACAAAACATTGTCTCAAGCCAACTGTTACACTGGTATATTTAAAAAAGGCATGTAAAAACAGGAATTTTACACGGGAAGACATTAGACTGATTACACTGTTCAACAGGTAAAAAGTTTTGGGCATAAAATTAGCTAATCTTACATAATTTTGGGGTGCTGAAAACGAAAATGACCCTAAAAAATGTTGATTGGCTCTAGTTTCCATGATATATTCACCCATCTAATGACGTAAGCCATTCAAAATTATGATGCAACTTCAGCTGCATATTGCGCAATTGATACTGGTGACCAATAGAAAATTGCATGTATACTGAGATGATGCAATATTAGCCTTTAATTGCATCACTTCACTGCATAAAAGCTGCAGTATCTGTAGCTGATTGTAGTTCGACAGCGTCTTTACATTTCGTTTTATGCTTATATATAGAGAGATGAGCGAAGTATTCAAAAATTTGATTCGACTGATTCGGCGAATTCGTGAAAAAATTTCGATTCGAGTCGAATATATTCGCTGCGAATTTAACTTATAAAAGGGTGTTTCTAGGCTTCAGAGAGCCTTTATATTAGTGCAGAACACTGTACCTTTAATTTAAATGCCCTTGGAGTCTGCTGGGGAAGAGAAATAATACTGACAGTCAGTATGACATGCAGATGAGTGCCGTCAATCTTAGAATCACCGCACACTTCACTCATTTGGGCAGTCACGGGGCCAAAACCAGAGTGTGGAGCCACAGTGTGGCGGTGGAGGCAGCAGCAATGGGAGGCCATACAGCACCCTATGACAAAAATGGAAACCACCAGCAGTGTGAGGAGACCTGAAAGTGGCACATGGCAGAGTGTGGCGATGGAGACAGCAGCAATGGGAGGCCGTACAGGGACCCATGACGCACTCTGGACCTGGCAGCAGCATGAGGAGGCAGTACAGGGGCCCATGGCAGATTACGGGCCTGGCAGCAGCATGAGGAGTTGGTACGGGGGCCCATGGCAGATTACGGGCCTGGCAGCAGCAATGGGAGGCCGTACAGGGACCCATGACACACTCTGGACCTGGCAGCAGCATGAGGAGGCGGTACAGGGGCGCATGACAGATTACGAGCCTGGCAGCAGCAACTTGGACAGGAGGAAGTTCAGCTTCTGCACCGTCGGGTGCGTGCTCGCAAACTGTTGTCTCTTGGAAACGGATTCCAAGAAAGACTGCTGACAGAATCCGTGAAGAAGAGTAGCAGGAGAAGGAGCATCTGAACGAGCGGAATATGCCAACAAGCGACAACAGGGGCCCATGACAGATTACGGGCCTGGCAGCAGCATGAGGAGTCGGTACGGGGGCCCATGGCAGATTACGGGCCTGGCAGCAGCAATGAGAGGCCCGTAATCTGCCAGCACCCTATGACAAAAAATGGAACACACCAGCAGTGTGTGAGGAGACCTGAAAGTGGCACATGGCAGAGTGTGGCGATGGAGACAGCAGCAATGGGAGGCCGTACAGGGACCCATGAGACACTGTGGACCTGGCAGCAGCATGAGGAGGCGGTACAGGGGCCCATGGCAGATTAGGGGCCTGGCAGCAGCAATGGGAGGCCCGTAATCTGCCAGCACCCCTATGTCAAAAAATGGAACACACCAGCAGTGTGTGAGGAGACCTGAAAGTGGCACATGGCAGAGTGTGGCGATGGAGACAGCAGCAATGGGAGGCCGTACAGGGACCCATGAGAGACTCTGGACCTGGCAGCAGCATGAGGAGGCGGTATAGGGGCCCATGGCAGATTAGGGGCCTGGCAGCAGCTATGGGAGGCCCGTAATCTGCCAGCACCCTATGACAAAAAATGGAACACACCAGCAGTGTGAGGAGACCTGAAAGTGGCACATGGCATGAGACACTGTGGACCTGGCAGCAGCATGAGGAGGCGGTACAGGGGCCCATGGCAGATTAGGGGCCTGGCAGCAGCTATGGGAGGCCCGTAATCTGCCAGCACCCTATGTCAAAAAATGGAACACACCAGCAGTGTGAGGAGACCTGAAAGTGGCACATGGCAGAGTGTGGCGATGGAGACAGCAGCAATGGGAGGCTGTACAGGGACCCATGAGACACTGTGGACCTGGCAGCAGCATGAGGAGGCGGTACAGGGGCCCATGGCAGATTAGGGGCCTGGCAGCAGCAATGGGAGGCCCGTAATCTGCCAGCACCCTATGACAAAAAATGGAACACACCAGCAGTGTGTGAGGAGACCTGAAAGTGGCACATGGCAGAGTGTGGCGATGGAGACAACCCACCGACTGTTTTGCTCGCTGCCAAGCTGCTACCCTCTTCTCCTGATGATGCGGAAGCAATAGCCTGATGACGACGAGGCTGCCAAGTGCGATCAGCCTCATCATCATCAATTAGGGTCTCCGCCTCACTACTAGCCCCCTCGGCTGCGTGTGGGTCAGGAGACAGACCTGTCTCTAGACCGGCTACCGAGCCACTCTCCTCGCCACTACTTCTTCGCCTGGCTGCTGAAGAGGCGGATGTCTCCCCCCGTTCCTGACCGCCCTCTGTTAGCTCTTCCTCACTGTACTGGATGACACCGGGAGCACTGGCCTCTGGCTGCGAATAGTGCTGCATCGACCCCTTCCTCTGCTTCCACGTCTGCTCGCTCCTAAAACATTGCCTCCTCTGCCACTCCTCTGCATGTTGTCTGACATACTCTTTAATTCAACGATTCTGTGTCCCTGAGTAACAATTCTGTGTCCCTGAGTAACGTTTCTGTGGCCCTCGGTAACAATTCTGTGTCCCTCGGTAACAATTCTGTGTCCCTCGGTAACAATTCTGTGTCCCTCAGTAACAATTCTGTGTCCCTCAGTAACAATTCTGTCTGTCCCTGAGTAACAATTCTGTCTGTCCCTGAGTAACAATTCTGTCTGTCCCTCAGTAACAATTCTGTGTCCCTCAGTAACAATTCTGTGTCCCTCAGTAACAATTCTGTGTCCCTGAGTAACAATTCTGTGTCTGTCCCTGAGTAAGAATTCTGTGTCTGTCCCTGAGTAAGAATTCTGTGTCCCTAAGTAACGTTTCTGTGTCCCTAAGTAACGTTTCTGTGGCCCTCAGTAACGGTTCTGTGTCCCTCAGTAACGTTTCTGTGTCCCTCAGTAACGGTTCTGTGTCCCTCAGTAACAATTCTGTGGCCCTCAGTAACAATTCTGTGTCCCTCAGTAACAATTCTGTGTCTGTCCCTGAGTAAGAATTCTGTGTCTGTCCCTGAGTAAGAATTCTGTGTCTGTCCCTGAGTAACGTTTCTGTGGCCCTAAGTAACGTTTCTGTGGCCCTAAGTAACGTTTCTGTGGCCCTAAGTAACGATTCTGTGTCCCTCAGTAACAATTCTGTGTCTGTCCCTGCGTAACAATTCTGTGTCTGTCCCTAAGTAACAATTCTGTGGCCCTAAGTAACGATTCTGTGTCCCTCAGTAACGATTCTGTGGCCCTAAGTAACGTTTCTCTGTCCCTAACTCTCTCCCTGAATACAGCCAGGTCTGCCTCTGTTGAATGACTGGAGGCAAATGGAGAATTCTAAAATGGCTGCCATTTATAGCTCGACCATTACACTGTGCTGGCTGGCTGGCTGCTGATTGGCTAATGCGATCACATGTCATGAATGAATGCATTATGGGTCAGCGCGCCTTGTCTGCGCACCTTCCCAGACATCCCCGCTCCGTCGCCGCACATGTCGCCGCCATTTTAGGAAAAATCGAAATTTTCCTAATATTCGAAACAAATTCCACTTCGCCTACTTCGATTCGCTCATCTCTACTTATATAGGCTACTCAGTAATGCCTCGCACTTGTGTGAATAAAGCAGATAATTTCTGCTATATCTGCGGTGAAATAACTTTTATCTCACAAAAAAGGAGGATAACAGGAATGATTAAGAAAGCCTACAACTTGTATTTTGGCTGCAAGATAGGAGACCAGGACAAGAGCTGGGCACCACATATATGCTGCAATTCTTGTGGGACGGCACTGGAGCAATGGTTGAATGGAAAAAAGGCATCTATGCCTTTCGCTGTGCCAATGATTTGGAGAGAGCCAACAGATCATGTTAGTAATTGTTACTTTTGTATGGTGCCTCCAATTGTAAAAGGGCTAAATGAGAAGAAAAGTTATCTGTGCACTGTTATATTTGAACTCAGAATGTGAAATTCATTAAGAAATGGATCCTTTTGTTTCCAAAAACTGGCAAAAAAAATAAAAATTTGTTGAAAAGTGTTATTGAACTCACTGGTTGATACCGTCTAGTCTGATGCTGAATATTTTTCAGTAATTAACTTAGCAAATGTATTTTTTAGTGTCCCTGTTGATGCAGAGACACAGCCATTTTTGGTTTCTGTTTCCATGGCCACCAGATGACCTGGTTGTAAAAATTGCTCAGGGTTTTTTTTGTTGATTTTTCTGTAGTCTACTTAATTTTCCTCCCGGCCACTCTGAGGGAGTGGACACCGGTCCATGGATCAGTCCTGCTGCAGTACGCAGATAACATCTGCCTCTGCAGTCCCACTAAGGGGGGCCGGCCTGAGGGATGGAGAGAGTTTGCTAAAATGTCTTTTTGAAGGTGGATACAGGGCCCTGATTTACTAAGAAACTGAGTCTACCAGCAGATGCTAAACATTCAGGCAGACTCAATTCAAACAATCTAGACCTGTCCGTCTTCTGAAAGGTGTCTAGCAAACTCATTGAAAAGCATTCTACTTGTAGGGACTCTTTCCTGTTAGTAAATGTGGAATCGTGTTTGGGCACATTTATAGGTGCAAATATGTTTCATTAGGTGGCGCACAACCACAGGCTTTGTTGGCGTTTTTCTGTTTGCATATGAGAATACTTATAATTTAAAGTAAAGTACACCTAAATAGTTTTTTTTTTTTTTTTTTTTTGGTTGCGGTTTCTTCAAAAATGATCAGACAAACTAATGCATTTCCTAATGAATGTCATACATTCTATTTTCAAATGTCAAACATTTTCACACTTATATCTCAAATAATTGGGGAATGTCTAGTTCTAATTTCCCAATATAATGATATATCTTCCTTCTCTTTAATCATGTAACTATTCTATGTTAAAGTAATGGTGCAGCGCTATAAATGCATGTTAGCAATCATAAAAACACATGTAAAATCAAAAACGTGCAAATAAGTACCACACGTGCCATTCATAGGCACTCTCTGAGTTGGTACTCTCACACGAAAGGACATTCCATTATTCAGGAATGATTATTATGAACTTTTTTTTAGCACTATTTACCAGTTTACATAATTATTGCACTTATTTGCACTTTTTTTATTTTACATGCGTTTATGATTGATAACATGCATTTATACACTATTACTGTAACATATTTCTATTCTGGGTACTGTTGCCAATGAGTGCTAGCTGCTATCTTCATATCTATACCTAGATTTATATTTATCTTGTGTAATACCATTTTAGTAGTCTCTATTTAACTTTACCAGCGCATGGCTTTTATCATTATTTTTAAAACAATGTAACTATTCTACATTGCAGATTCAAACTCTGTCTCCCTCAGTGGCTTAGTGGTTTTAGACACTCAGAATTTACAGCACGTGGGTCATGGGTTCTAATCCCGGTCATGGCTGCACACTGTCTGCATCTCAGTTTGCAAGCTTTCTCTGCACAGGTGTGTTTCTGCCAAACACTCCAAAGACATGCTGTTAGGTTTAATTGAGCCTGGTATATGTCTGAGTTTCTGGTCTTATGCAGGCATAGACTGGGTCAAAAACCAGCAGTTTTTTTAAAACAAAAAAATCGTCTATGGCCGGCATTTTTACTTTCTGTCCCTTGCAGAGAGCTCCGCTATTATTATTTTACATGAAAAGTCTTGTGGTTGCAACAATGTATCCATTTGTATCCATTTCAGATACAGATGTTTTTATTCGGATACAAATAGATACATTGTTGTATCTCTTTTTTCTCTCTCTCTTTCTCTCTCTCTTTTCTCTCTCTCTTTTCTCTTTCAGGACATGGCTCATGCGCATATTTTTATCGGTAAAACGATCGATTCGGCACGATTTGCCCATCATTGCGGGAAAATCGGGCGATAGTCAAAATCGTCCGCGTCCCGTGTTCTTCTGAAAAGTGTGAAACTTTCAATTTTCCTTCTGTTTATATTTCATTACAACTTTATCTTCTCTAAGGCTATGTTCACACTAGCTTTGTCAGCAGCAGGCATCAGACAGGCGTTTGGGAAGTGTTTTTTTCCGCTTCTCAAATGCCTATGAAAATTCTGCACATGGCAGCACACAGTGCTGTTCACACTGAAGCGTTAGCATTGCGTCATGACAAAAACTGGCACTCATGTCGAGTTCAGGAGGAGTTGAAGCACTCCCATTCAGTCTATGGTGCCGCTCCGCAAATGCCTGGCAGACGTTTGCGGTGTGGTTGCAAGGCATTTTCAGAGTGTTAATACCATTTAACTTTCATTACAGGCATTTGTGGCGCAGTTTTAACGCTTTGGTAAAATGCTTATCATATGCCTCAAAACCGCACCATAGGGCGTTTTC